CACCTGAAATGTATTTAATAAAAATAATAATAACCAGATGTGGCTCGTGGCTACCATCTTAGACTCACATCTATGAAACATTTCCCATATGGCAGAAAGATCTATTGGACAACAATGATTTCAACTGACTAAAGTCAGATTGCCTACTTTCAAATCATAGCTGTGCCCAGCTGAGTTGTATGTGACCTTGGGAAACTTACTTTGCTTCTCTGGGTATTAGCTTCCTCGTCAATAAAGTAAATAGCAATCCTTCTGTGTTTCTGAGAAAGATTAGCTATAGCACTATTGATGAACTGTTGAACACTTTACCTAAGATATAGGTAAGCATCAAATAAGTGGAAGCTATTCTTTTTTTCCTAGTGTTTGATTATCTCTTTTTTCTTTTGGAAGGCCAGGAGGTGAGTTCTGTGTTTGTTTGTTCAAACATAGTAGCTGCAAGATATTGTTGCCCTGATTTCTAGCTGGACCAACAAAAGATGGTATAGTAAGCTGTAAGCAACCTGCATTTGTCAGCCTGGTGATTTTTTTTTTTAAACACGCTGTCCCTGAGAAACATGGTAGAATTTGTTTTACTTCTCTTCTGCCAGGAAGTAACCCTTCTGGCTTTGTTAGAAGTGTGGTTTGTAATAATTGTACCCACCCCAGATGGCTCCTGAAAAACCTTTGAAATGCCATCTGCCAGGCGTGTGTCCAGCAGGCAGCCTGTCATTCTGCTGAAAGAAAAGAGAGGGCGGGGTCCCCTCCCAGGCCCTTTCTCCCTAGCATCTCTGAATGGGAGTCTGGTCATGTGGACCAGGCCCAGGGCCTGTTGCTCAGAGGATAACTCCAGTAAGCTCCTGCTGGCCTGCAGAGAGGAAAGGTTTTGTCTGGGTAGCAAACCCTGAAGGTTTTGTGGGTGGAGCTGAATCCTCCCCTACCCGCTTTCCCTGCTGCTTAAAGGCTATTCTAAGCGTATTTATTTCCAAGGGAAAATGGTGTCTGCTTGTTTTCATTTTTCCTCTAAAATGTACCATTTTCCCCCAAGTTCTTGATCATTTTCAATCCTTTCAGGAAATGAAGTCCCAGAGGTTAGTGTTGTCTCAGCAGTTACTCTGACAAATTGGTTCAGAAAACATGACTAAGCTTCCTCGTCAATAAAGTAAATAGCAATCCTTCTGTGTTTCTGAGAAAGATTAGCTATAGCACTATTGATGAACTGTTGAACACTTTACCTAAGATATAGGTAAGCATCAAATAAGTGGAAGCTATTCTTTTTTTCCTAGTGTTTGATTATCTCTTTTTTCTTTTGGAAGGCCAGGAGGTGAGTTCTGTGTTTGTTTGTTCAAACATAGTAGCTGCAAGATATTGTTGCCCTGATTTCTAGCTGGACCAACAAAAGATGGTATAGTAAGCTGTAAGCAACCTCCATTTGTCAGCCTGGTGATTTTTTTTTTTAAACACGCTGTCCCTGAGAAACATGGTAGAATTTGTTTTACTTCTCTTCTGCCAGGAAGTAACCCTTCTGGCTTTGTTAGAAGTGTGGTTTGTAATAATTGTACCCACCCCAGATGGCTCCTGAAAAACCTTTGAAATGCCATCTGCCAGGCGTGTGTCCAGCAGGCAGCCTGTCATTCTGCTGAAAGAAAAGAGAGGGCGGGGTCCCCTCCCAGGCCCTTTCTCCCTAGCATCTCTGAATGGGAGTCTGGTCATGTGGACCAGGCCCAGGGCCTGTTGCTCAGAGGATAACTCCAGTAAGCTCCTGCTGGCCTGCAGAGAGGAAAGGTTTTGTCTGGGTAGTAAACCCTGAAGGTTTTGTGGGTGGAGCTGAATCCTCCCCTACCCGCTTTCCCTGCTGCTTAAAGGCTATTCTAAGTGTATTTATTTCCAAGGGAAAATGGTGTCTGCTTGTTTTCATTTTTCCTCTAAAATGTACCATTTTCCCCCAAGTTCTTGATCATTTTCAATCCTTTCAGGAAATGAAGTCCCAGAGGTTAGTGTTGTCTCAACAGTTACTCTGACAAATTGGTTCAGAAAACATGACTGGAAGAAATGTCAACGATAAGATGATTATAGGAGGGGGAGAAAAACCAAAATATTGTCTGGTGTGGAAGACTTAAAAAAAAAAACCCACAACAAATCTTCTGTTTGGTCTTACTTATTTATCCACATTTGGGGGTGCTGGGGATGGAGGGATGGATTTAGTTAATAGAATTTTTGGTATGGAGACTTGAGTGTGAGAGTGGCCATATAGAACATATTTAGGACAGATTCTTTCACAGCAAGTTTCAGAGAGATTCTGTTCTTGCCCCACACTGGAATTTCCCAGTATGGTGTGGACTGTTTGTGTTTTCCAAAGAGCCGGCTGAACAGCTTTTGCTCTGAGGCATCACACCTTCCTCCTCTGCTCCTGCTTTGTTGACAGCTGCCTCTTCATCTCCTCCGAGGATCTTTTCCTCTTCTCAGTTTCCAAAAATTGTAAAGTTTTTGTGTTTAAGGCAGACTTCTTGACTGCTTTTTCTATCATGTCTCTCCCCCTAGATTCATTCTTTCTTTCTCTTGCCTTCAAATGCCAGTGGTTTAGTGATAACTCTCAAATTTAGGGCCCAACCACCCATCTGATTTTTCGATTTACATATTCAGCTGTCCAGAGCTCTCTACACCCAGGTGTCTGATAGGCATCTCAAGCTTTCACATATTCAGAAGTGAACTCTTAATTTTTTTTCCCCTTATGCACCATTCCCCCCATCTTCTTGATGTCTGTAAGTAGTACATCCCATTTGCCCAGTCATATTCTTCTGTTTTTCTTACACACTCCATCAGCGGTTTCTGTCTTTAAAATCTAAACCTAGCCTGGCCTGATGAGTTGATGTACTTTGAACACATCTATCCTATGTAGTCTCTTACAGCCGTTTAAAGTGTTCACAATTCATAATAGAAATCTCATTGCTTATCACCTCCATCCTATTTTTCTTGTCTATGCCCTAATTTTTTTTTTCTCAACTGGATACTGAAGAGAGTAAAAGTGTTAGTCTCTAAGTCATGTCTGACTCTTTGCAACCCCATGGACTGTAGCTTGCCAAGCTTCTCGTTCATGGAGTTTTCTAGGCAAGAATGCTAGAGTGTATTGCCATTCTCTTCTTCAGGGGATCTTTCCCAACCAGGGATCAAAGCAGGGTCTTCTGCATCGCATGCAGATTCTTTACCACCTGAGCCACCAGGGAAGCTCGATTATCTATGTAATTTGAACTATAATACCAACTCATTTCATTCTAATGATAACATGAACTGTGTATCTGGTAGCAGGTACTGAGCTAGGCCTTTTAAAAGCCTTGTCTTATTCAATAGACACAACAAATGTGTAGGTAGTTTATTGTCCTTATTTCACAGGTTAGGAAACTGAGAAACAGCAGAAGCTCAGGAATGAGGCAGATCATGAATTCTTCATTCCCTTTCTATGTGTACCTGCTCAACAGCAGTGTGCTCTGGAGTACCCACTATATGCCTGACACCGAGATGTAAATTTAAACATTGTAAAGTACCTCAAGGGTGTCATAGTCTGCCAGGGAAGCAAGATATGGGAAAAACTTAGGAAACAGTTTAAGAATAGACTTTTGGACACTACACAAGCAGGCTTCTATACCAGAAAGTCCTGGTGTGCTGAGCATGACAAGCAAACATTTGTAACATAACTGGTACTATGGATAATTTGCAGCTCTTTCTAACACTCAGATTTCCGATGTTAGAAAAAATCGACTTGTTTAAAAATGTGTTTTCCTTGAGTAAGATATGCAAGAAGTGTTGAGTTTTTGACGTAAGAGAATACTGGTCATCTACTGTAGATGCATGGAAATTCACATGGGCAGGTAATCAGAGACTGTTCTGCCATGAACACTGGAGACAACATACAGTTGGTTATTTAATTTCTTTTTAGGGAGAATTAGAACTAGGACTAGAGGAAAACATTCCTGCTTATTTTATATATATATATATATATATATACACATATAAAATGACTTAAAAGGCACTATGTGCCTTGCAGAATGATCTCATGTTGGTTGTATGCCCTACCTAACTTGAATGTTGGAGCAGAAACCATGAATTTTGCTTTTGTTTTTTTTTTAATCTCCCCTCCCATTTAATATAGATTCCTAGTATGTACTACAAAATTTCTTATGGTTTCTTTTTTTAGTTTGAGTGTAAACCACACTCCTTCCACACTTTTGATTGAGGTTGACTGGGCTAAAATGATAGGTCTTTCACCCAGCACCTTGGCTGGGTGACTTAAATGTTTTAGAGGGTCTGTGTTATTTCATAAGAATTGTTATATTTATGAGTCTTTGAATGAATGATGAGATTAATTCAGGGGGAGAATTTTCTATCAAATTCAGTGTCCTTTTTCTCCTCTCAGAACTTACGGGTGGCCTCTTTTTGCCAAACATATTAATTACATGGAGACACAGCAACATTTTGATCCCTGGGAGGTATCCAGCCACAGATCTTGGGCAATTGAATTTCTCTAGTGATGTGTTTATGCAACGGGTGTCATTTTCTTCAAAGGGCTTATTACATTGGAAGTTGCCGGATGTATTGAGGAACACAAGAATTTCGAGGCCTGTGATAAAATTATAAACCCCTTAGGCTCTGAGCTTAAGGTGGATAATGTTTTTAGAATTTACTGGAGCCCTAAAAGCTGCTGATTGTGAATGCTATCTGTATAAAATCCAGTTCACCCTTTTCATTCAGTGCATTCATCATTTTTTTTAAGTGATAAAAATTTCCCTGGGTTGCCTTGCTGTGTTTGGTTTTCTCTTTCTGGTATTTGAGGGGCCCAGGCACGAGAGGATGGAAGTCAGGATGCTTTTCTGCTAGAAAGAAGTCACCTTTGCCAGATCCCTGTCTCAGTAGGTGGGTCTGTCAGCTTAGGTACTTACTGAACTGGTTATTTTAATTACACCTGGATGGGGCGCTTCCTCTTTCAGTGGACTGATGTTTTCTTGTGCCTTTTGCCTTGTCTGCTACAGGCACAACCCGGTCTCCCAGAGAAGGAGAGGTGCCTGGCGTGGACTATAACTTTCTGACTGTGAAGGAGTTCTTGGACCTCGAGCAGAGCGGGACTCTTCTGGAAGTCGGCACCTATGAAGGTGAGCTGATCTGTATGGCAGCAGTGAGCGTGCCTCTCTGCTGGGCACCACAGAGGATCCTGGGCCATTGAGGCAGAGATGTTCTATGGACTAGTGAAGTCTAAACATCTGTAGGAGATGGCAGTTTACCTTAGTGGGATTAATAATAATAAAATATATGGAATAAGGCTTTGTGGAGCTGTTTAAAAATAATTTGGATTTTTTTTTTTCCTCCAGGATTTTTCTCCTTTAACTTGTTGATTTAAATGCAGACACGTGTGCGTGTGGGCGTGTGTGTGTGTGTGTGTGTGTGTGTGTGTGTTTAATATGGGTATGTACAGTATTAGAAAGAGAGGAAGAAGACTCATAGCATAAAATGTGACCTTATAGGTGGTGGTGTTTTAGTATCAAAAGGACTGGAATGTCATTTGTACCACCAATTGATGTTTAATATATTTTTGAATAGGTGATAGATTTTCATGGAATATTTCAAAGCAGAATATTTCAGAAGTATTTAGTAAGTAGCCTCTATCCTAGATTTATCTTCCACCTACCTAATTTCCATTTATGTTTTCCCCAGATATTAAAACCAGTGTTATTCATTTCTGTTACTCTTCTGAAATTTTTTTTAATGTAAATACAAACACATACATGCAAGTGTCATACGTGTGTTCTCATATCTTCCCTGTTTTATAAAGAAGATATACACTATATGCTATTTGGCATCTTGCTCTTTTATATCATGAAAGTATGTCTTCTGAGTCTTTGAGGTTCAGTACTAGAGTGCTTTTTGTTTTCTTTTTAAAGTGACTAAGTAATCTCCTGACTACGTGGACCACAATTTATTTAACTAGGTCTTTTTGAATAAACGTTTTTTAATATTTTAAAACATGACTGTGTTGAATAACGTGAGTATAAATCATTTCATATAGGTGAAAGTAAATCTGTAGGATGAGAGCAAAGCCAAATGTGGGGAGAAAATTAAACTTACATCTTCTGAAGACAATATTATAGCTTGATTGCTTTGTTGAGTGTTTTTATTTGAGACAAAAGGACATACTATGATACTGTTAATAACTGGGTCAAGTTATTAAGTTTTGTGTACTAAAATCTGGATTTATGGGATGAACACAGTGGCATTTTCCAGATGAGACTTAAAAACAAAGGATGAATATGAAATAGACTATTATTTTATTAAGGGCATTGTAAGTTTGGATGTGATAATTGCCCCTGTTTCAGGGGCATTTTTTGCAGTGGGTATAGGGAAGAACATTAACTTTGTGCCTACTGTTCATGTCCAAATTGTGAATGTACATTAAACATTAGGTAGATATTTATCAGATTCCTAATTGTGAATACAAGAAGATTTTCTTTGAGTATTGCTGGTTATCCATTGTTATGAAAGTCGTTCAGTCATGTCTAATTCTTTGCCACTCCATGGACTGTAGCCTGCCAGGCTCCTCTGTCCATGGAATTCTCCAGGCCAGAATACTGGAGTGGGTAGCCATTCCCTTCTCCCAAGGATCTTCCCAACTCGGGGATCAAACCCAGGTCTCCCGCATTGCAGGCAGATTCTTTACCAGCTGAGCCAGTATTGCTGGTTATCCACTGTTGTGGTTTCCTTCAAGTATTGGCATTTGACTGGGGGTTGGTGGGTTGGGAGATGTGAGGGTGCCCCAAGCAAGAATGATTTGTTAAGACTGGTACCTATATACAATGGAATATTACTCAGCAATAAAAAGAAATGCATTTGAGTCAGTTCTAATGAGGTGGATAAAGAGTGAGTAATGAGATGGATGAAGAGTGAAGTAAGTCAGAAAGAGTGAGAGAAATATCGTATATTAGTACATATGTATGGAATCTAAAAAGATGATACTTCTGATCCTATTTGCAGGGCAGCGAAGGAGATGCAGACATAAAGGACAGACTTTTGGACAAAGTGAGGGAAGGGGAGGGTGGGATGATATGAGAGTAGCATTGAAACATATACATTACCATATGGAAAATAGATAGCTAGTGGTATGACACAGGTAACCAAAGCTGGTGCTCTGTGAACCTAGAGGGGTGGGGTGGGGAGGGAGATGGGAAGGAGGTTTAAGAGGGAGGGGACCTTAGTATACCTATGGCTGATTCATGCTGATGTATGGCAGAAGCCATCACAATATTGTAAAGTATTTATCCTCCAATAAAAAAGAATTGACCTAGTTGTGAGGGAAAGGGATGGGGGCTCAGTGGATGTACCAAGAGCTTCTTCAGTGTGTTGTTTTATAAATATGAATATGGTTAAAAATTCATGTAGCTGAGAAGAGAGCAAATGTGGATCCTCTTTGGTTTAAGAAAGTGAGTTGTCCTGTCTGAAATCACTTATTATAACCATCAGAGGAGCTTTAATCCAGAATATAAAAAAATATTTATTTGCATGTTTGGAGAGGTTAGGGGTGGGAGTGGCTGTGCAAAGGCAAAGAGTACTTTGTTGAAAAAGAAAAGCATGTGGTTAGGCAACAGCATATCTGGGACAAAAAAGAAAATCAGCTCATTTTACTGAGATGTTTATGTTACAAGTGGTACATAGGTGGAGTCACCTTTTTTCCCCATTAATTTTATCACTTTGACAGAGGTAGCTATTATCCCCAGCTTTTTAGATGGGGATGCTTAGACCAGGTAGCACTTAGGGACTTTCTTAAGGTTGTGCAGCTGGTTCCAGAAGGTGAGAGTCAGGAAACAGACCCAGCTGTTGAATTTTTAGATCCCGTGCTCTTTCCTGGACATGCTAAGAAGATGATACTGATGTAACTAAAAAGTTGTGATAATAGACCATTAGTACTTTCACCCAACTTCTTGCTGAGTAACAACAGGAAAAAGTTTTTCAGAAAATGTCTAGTCATCCTTACATAAAACCGTCTTTCTGTGAATGTCACTCAGTTATTTTAGAGTTGAAATTCTCATGTTGTGTATGGGTCCAGTGTTTTTTGGCCATTTACCTGTATTCTTCAGCCTTTTGACCTTTTGGCTGTATGATTTCCCTGCTGCACAAGATGGCTTATAATTTTTTGGTAGCAATTGGAATGTATTGTATTGACTTTCATAAGGTGAAAGCAAAATGGAATTTTTGTGATATGCCAGATAGTGTTACAGGAATAGGGCTGGAGAGATCTTTGTGAGCCCCTCTGGGCCTCCTTAGTGGGGATTCTGTCAGTGGGACACTAACAAGCCTGCGGGCTGGGCTGTGGCCCTGCCCGAGTTTAGGTCTCAGCCCCTTTGCTGTTGAGCTGTGTGCCCTCCGGCAAGTTACTTAATGCCGCATGTCTCCATTTTCCCTTCGGTAAAATGAGGATAATAATAGTGCTTTCTCATAGGTAGGATTAAATGAGACAATAATTGGAAAGGGCTGAGCACAGCGTCTGACACACGTAAGCTCTCTGTCAGCGTTAGCTCTTATATTTATACACACGACTGGCCCCAAATTGCCACCCTGGTGGATGGATTCTCTTCTCCTTCTCCTAGTCAGTAAACTAGTGGATTTACCAGTAAAATATCTTTATTTACTTCTCTAGGTACTCACTGTCTATTTCCATTGCTCACATTTTATTCCTCTTGGCCTGACCTGGCTCCAAAGAGGAAAACACCGCAACGCAAATCACTCTTTAAAGCAAGACTTTTAAACAGCTTGAAGTAAAAGTAATGAATATACAAGATGGAATTCTTTCTAGAGTAAAGAACTTAAACATCTTTAAGTGTAAGTTGATTCTCCTCCTCCTCACAATTTTATAAATAAAATAAAAAATAAATAAATAAATGAATAAATAACCAAAAAAAAGGTCTAGTGCAAAGATTCGGAAAACGTAGACATAAACGGCATAAAACTAAGTATTTTTGTCCATTGACTTAATACATCCTGGAGATCTTCCCAGTTACCCCACATAGCTCCACCTCATTCTTTATAAATGCTGCAAAATATGCTATTGTATGAATTTATATAGTTTATTTAACTAGCCCCCTGCAGGTGGATGTTTAAGATGCCTCCTCCCCCCACTTTTTTTTAATGTTTTGTAAACAATACTGCTGCAAACACCTCTGTACAAATGTCTCACTGTACTGTTTTGAATAGATTTATAGAGGCAATTCCTGGCAGTGCAGTTTTAAAAGCAGCCCTTCTGTGCCTTCATTTCAGCATTGTCCCATGGTACAGGGTGTGATGTATGGGGCAGAAGATCAAAGTAGCTCTGCCTTTGAAGGTGCTTATGCACCTCATTCTGTCACTTACGCACTATGCTTCATAGTGATTTATTTCTGACAGTGTTTGTCCAGTATATATGTGATGAGTGCTTTTCAAAGTGCATTATGTGTAACAACTCACTTAATTATCCAGTAATCCTATGAGCTGAGTACAGTTTGTCCCCATTTTACAGAAGAAGAGTATGAGGCCCAGAGATGCCCATTGTCTTTTTTTAACTCCATATGGTGAGCCCAAGATAGAGCTGGCATTCAAACCCAGGCTTATCTGGCTCTAGGGTCTCTACTCTACAGCCCCTCAATCTTGGGAGGCAAAATAATTTAAACAGCTTCTAGAGAAGTGATGAGTGTTCAGAGAAGAGAACTACAAGAGTGCTCCGTTGACTCTAACATTAGGGTCAGTCCCCGTGAAGACGTGGTCTTCGATCTGAAGCTTGTCAGAGGACCGCATGAGTTCAGGTGTGGGCACCGACCCTAAAGCCAGGATCCCAAGAAAGCAAATGCAGTGTGAACCAAGAAAAGGTCGGAACGTTGGTGCTAGAGATGGAGAAGCAGGGAATCATCTCTTGCTTCCTGTACAACCAATGCCATACAATAGGACTTTCTTCAGTGATGAAAATGTTCATTATTCCAAGCTGTCCAACACAACAGCCATGGACCACATGTGATTTTTGTTACTGAGAAGCTGCATTTTAAAATTAATTTAGTTTAAACTAGTTTAGCCTTAAATAGTTGCATGTGTCTAATGACTGCCATATTTTCTAGGGCAGTTTTAGAATAAAA